TATTCCGTCTTTCAAATGGTCAATTTGAAGACCAAGACAGAATTTTGTTCTCCCAAGATCTTTCATCTCAAATTCTTTCATGAGATATTTTGCAGTATTTTCTATTTCATCAGAAGTTCCAATGATGTTTAAATCATCAACATATACTGCAATAATGGCAAAGCCTGATTTAGATCTACGGATGAAAACACATGGACTAATTGGATCATTTTTGTATCCTTCTCTGAGCAGATATTCACTAAGACGATTATACCACATTCTGCCAGATTGTTTTAGTCCATATAGTGACTTTTCCAATTTTATGGAAAACATCTCTCGAGGTTTTGAACTATAAACCTCAGGCATCTTTAGCCCTCCAGGAACTTTCATATATATGTCAGTATCGAGAGATCCATATAAATATGTTGTCACTACATCCATTAAACGCATTTGAAGTTTTTCAAATACAGACATGCCTATCAAAAATCTCAACGTAGTTGGATCAACTACTGGGGAATAAGTTTCTTCATAATCTATCCCCGGAATTTGAGAAAAACCTTGGGCAACGAGTCGGGCTTTATATCTCACAATTTCATTTTTCTCATTGCGCTTACACACGAAAACCCATTTGAAACCAACTGGTTTCACGCCTTTTGGCGTAGGAACTATAGGCGCAAAAACACTCCATTTTTCAAGTGATTTCAATTCTGCCTGAATTGCTTCGTTCCATTTTGGCCAATCATGTCTACGTCGGCATTCATCAACTGAAGTTGGCTCAATGTCATCATTTTCATCCATGATGTTTGTGGCAATGGCATATGCGAATATATCATCAACATGAACATTTTTTTCTGTTCCATTGTAATCCCGTAGAAACGTAATTTATTGAAATCTCATAATTATCAACGTTTCTATCTTTATCTGAATTATTCGCATCTTCAGAGATTGTTAAATCCTCATTTGAAACAAATTGTTCGTTGATATTATTTTTTATATGAACATGCTCGGTTCGTTCATTTTCTTTCTTTGAAGAATGAACGTCTTTTGTTTCAAGTATTGTCTCTTGCCTTTTAAGTTTTCTTGGTTTTACATCTTTTGAACCAAGTGGTCTGCCATGCTTTTTGCGTATTGAAGACTCATTTGCAAGAGTTTTTTCATTTTTCTCTGAAGGAATTTCAATTCTGGCAGGAGCATTCATAGCTGGAATATGTGACTTTGTCACTTTCTTTGAATCTGTGAATGCGTCAGGTAATTGCTTTGCAACATTTTGTAAATGAATTATCTTTTGCATTTCTTGTTCGCAAGCATTTGTTCTTGAATCAAGAAAAGATAATCGTGTTGCATTCCATGTAATCTCTTTCGTACATGGGTCCTTTTTCTCATTTTCTCCCCCTAAGGCTGGGAATACTGTCTCATCGAAATGACAGTCAGCAAACCGAGCTGTGAATAAATCACCAGTCATTGGCTCAAGATATTTTATAATTGAGGGAGAATCAAAGCCAACATAAATTCTCAGCCTTCTTTGAGGACCCATTTTTGTACGATGTGGTGGAG